ATAAGATTTTACAGTTTGATTGTGTACTCGTCATCTTTTTGTATTCGTCTGACATTACCATGTATACTTACGTCGTTCGTACTCACAAGACGTCTGCGACTCTACGTCACTCATAGAGGCCACTAGCACCGGACGTCCGGGCGTCCGTTGAAAGAATCCAAAGGGCACTGCAGGCAATCCACTTGCCCCGACGGAAGTCAGAACCGAACAGAAAATGCGAGGATGGATCAGAGATAAAGAAGTTCCTCAGTCTCAGGAAACGAACAAATACTCTTTCACCAAATTGCAAAGAAAACATCACACGTTTAAGTGGGCAGAGTAAGGGCTAAAATTGTGCACAGGTGTTGAGACTACTGTCTCGTCTCGTGGCGTGAGCGATGCGCGCCGCGCAGCAGGCAGACCCGTCTCACCGGTCTGTATGTTGGGTTGCCTACCATCCGGCGCTGAGCCAGCCGTGCCAGCCGTGCCAGCCGCGCCAGCAAGCATGCCAGACGGTGGCGCTGGCGCTGAAGTTGTTTGAGTGTCAGTCCAGGAAAGACTTTTATTTTAATCCAAAACCTTATTCTTATTTCAGAGTAGGTCTCTTTACTTGTCATACAAAAACTGTCGCCTTGTTACGGTGCGAGAACCTTTCAGAAAAAGAAACAACAACAAAAAATGACGGAAACACTCTAAATGCCGTTGCCCTTTCCCATGCGATCATTTTGAATATCATTTCCCCACCTTTCATTAATCCTGAAATTTGTATTTTCATAATATATAAACAGAAGGCGACAGTTTTTGTGTGACAAGTAAAGGGAGCTACTCTTTTTGCCGATATATCAGCAACCATGCCATGTACACTGATATATCAGCAATCAATGATTGCTGATTTATCAGCATAAATGTACACTGTTGAGTTTTCAGAGTATTTGTTATCACTCATTTGGGATTCTAAGAAGCTAGTGATTTTCAATACTCTCCATTGAAGCGGTTGAAGCAGGTTAGAGAGACCAGGGAAGGCGTTTTGCTCTCTCTGTTCTGCAGAGAGGCCCATGGGCCAGGCTGGACCGAGACCCGAGGCTCGCCGATGATATGAGAGAACTACCACCAAGTCCAATGCCCTGCATGAGAGAGACTTTGGGGAGGGGAGAGGATGGAAGGGGGAGGAACCGGCTTCCGACTCACGGCGTGCACACTGCTAGAGTAAGATAGCTTGTTCTCAGGAGAGCGAGATTAGTCCGTGCCTTATTGATGACAAAAAGAAAACTGAGACATCCGAATTTATAATTTTCCTATTTGCGGATGAGTCTCCACTTCACGTAAAAATAAAGAAAAGGATGGGTGCAGCGTTTGTACGAATCTGTCTGTATTTCTCAACCGCAGTAAGGAAACTTTATCTTGTCATAGTTACACACTGTCAAAAAAATCAATAGTAGATTACCTCTACCTTACGCTATTAACATAAAACTGTATGAGAATTTTCCCATACAAGCATGTCGGAGTTAAACAATGCGTGACTAGTAATCCTCCCATACAAGTATAGGAATTTTCTTAAACACCTGTAGGATATGTACTCTTTGTGCGTGGTGATTTTCCTGTATGAGTATTTCTCAACCACAGTAAGGAAACTTTATTTTGTCATAGTTCAGTTCTGATACCGACGTTAGCAGCGCCCAAACTAGGTTCGCTGCACGATTGTGACCAATTCTCTATTCTTTGCAAGGATTTTGAAGTACACAGGTTAAGAGAGAGAGAGAGAGAGAGAGAGAGAGAGAGAGAGAGAGAGAGAGAGAGAGAGAGAGAGAGAGAGAGCAGATTTTTCCGGTGCCTCTTTCGACATTTATTGCTAATGTTGGTTAGGTTGGTTTCATAGCCTGTCCGAGCAATAAATCCTAGACGCGCACGGCTATCTGGTCGCCAAGCGTGCGCCGCTGATTCCCCCACCTAGTCAGACCGGCCACGCCTCGCTAGCATTCCCCATCGACAAAACGGTTCCCCGAGGAGGACGGTGGCCTCTGGCGGCCCCATAGGTTTGCTGCCTCTGGTCGCCCCTACCCCATCCTGGAGCTTGGCTCACGAGCTCGGTCGCGAGATGCCCGACGAACGCACAACGTGGCACGACATGGCAGGGCTATAGAACTTGTCATTTCAAATATTTTTAAGCCGGTCCCTCCTATGAATTCCGTGGTACATGACTCGGAGAATCCCACCCAAAATCTCTGTAAAACACCCGATGAAATCACGCGTATCATTTCAACCTTCAATCGAGGGGTCACCGACTCGCCTGACCCATGTGCTGCTGGGTGTATCTTTTGAATTCGCTCTACTGTTGTGGGATTGCATGCATTGCATACATGCTAGGGCTGCAGGGGCTATGGCGCCTTTATAGACGAATGGAGCAGGCAAAACCGCAACACTGGAGATCATTTAAATAAGATACACCCGTTGTGGAGAATTATGATATTATGTGTCGATTTAAAGGATCTTATGAAATAATATTACTCTGTCAATCCAAATGTGTACATTGTACACTGTAAATAAAGTGTACATGGCATGTATGCTTTAAATAATGTGTACATACCCATATAAACATTTATAAATGTGTACATTCCCGTGTACACATCTTTCAAAGTGTACAAACTAACGGTTGTATGTACACATTAAAAGATGTGTACATGGGCATGTATACATTTATAAATGTGTACATAGGCATGTACACATGTATTAAAGCATGTTCCCTAGTATGGGAATATCGAACATTCTTCCCTAACGCAGCCAACTACTTAGTCGAGGCAGCGAACATTTCAGTAGCTGTCGCAACCAACTGCATATTGTTGACTCTCAGAACGAATTTGTCAGCTTCAGCTTTACGATCGTCGACTCTAGCTAATTTAGAGTGGTTGTTACAACTTATGCGTGCTCGTCTATGGCAGCTTACGATTACGGCCGGTCCCAGCGAATATGATTAGCTGGATGTGCTAACGCGGGTATACATTTGATTTTGGCGCTTTGCACCTGACTGACTAAACTCCTTTCGCATACGTCATCGCGCACGGGTGGGCCAGTGCCTCCGAGTTAGCTTGGCAGCCGGACGAACGGGGGTTCGACTCCCGCTTGAGTCGCAGTTCAAATATCAGAACGATTCCAGAAATAATCAAAGATGGTCGACAAATAGCGTGAAAAAGTTGGAAACTGCCATTAAAATATGAACTTTTAAATGAAAACACGTTTCAAAAGAAATATTTTTCACTGGTGCCGCATTAGTTGTCCCGACTAAGTTGACCCAACTATAATGTGAAAGTTGACCCAACTAATGTGCTTTCGGCTCTCGTGCGTGACGAACGCGCATCACTGCTGTCATTGCTAAATTGTTCGATACCAGCAAACATATAAGCTGTCACACACAACTAACCTTTTTTTCCCC